AAGAGAAAAAATATCAAGGAAATTCTTGCATTTATTCCTAGGGTTATTAGATCTTCACATTTTTTAAAGACTTTTAATGTTTAATTCCCTTATTTGGAATATAAGGGGGGTTGGAGTGAGGAATATTTGTAGTGCCCATAATATTTCTATTTTGATTTTAATTAAGCCTTTAATTTTTGTTGATAAATTTGATTCCGCTCAAAGGTTTCTTGGTTTTAACAAGGTTTTTGCTAATTGCACTAATAAAATTTGATTTTTTTGGTATAGTACTATTAAGATTGACATAATCCAGGATTTTGCTCAGACGGGTTTCAATTTCTTCAAATGAACGACTGTCCACACTAGAATTGAATTTCAACAACTTATTTTATGGGTCTTATTTGTATGCTTCTTGTAGTAGACAAGGTAGGATCTCCCTTTGGAACAAAGTTCACAATTTTTATAAGACTATTGCTAAACCTTGGCTCATTAGTGGGGATTTTAATATAATTTCCAATGCTAATGAAAATATTGGTGGTTGTTTTCCCAATGCTTTGGCCATGGATGATTTTAATAGTTTGATTTTAGACAGTAATTTGTATGATATTAGTTTTTTTTTGTAACGCTTTTACATGGAATTGAGGAACTGTGTGGCAATAGTTGGATAAAATTCTTTTTAATGATGAAAGGCTTAATAAGTTTCCTTTATCTCATATTGACCATCTGAGTAAAACCTTATTGGATCACTCTCCTTGACTGTTGAGCATCAACTTAGCTAGTCCTCAAATGAATCCAAACTTTTGTTTTCAAAACATGTGGTTCTTAGATGAAGGTTTTTTCAATGTTTTGGATATTAATTGGTCTGCTCAACAAAATATTGATGATAATATTAGAGGGAAGCATACTTTTTTTGAAACTCAAAGGATTCAAACAAAAGCTTAAATGGTAGAATAAGGTGGTTTTGAAAAAAATATTTTCTCTAATATTTTGGATGCTGAGTCTAAAGTTAATTCTTTAGAGAGGTCTTTTATGCTTGATGATTCTTGTGTGAACCTTGCTAAGCTTAATGAAGACAAAAGGTATCTTTTCAAATTACAAGAAAGGAAGAGGCTTTTTGGAAGCAACAAGATGCTTCTAAGTTCTTGATTGAAGGTGATAGGAACACTAAATTTTCTTACAGTATTGCTATTCACAAAAAGGTTTCTAGCCTTATTCTTAAAACTACTCATCGTAATGGCATGGTTTTAAATTCTCCTAATATGATTTATTCTTCAGGTGTTGACTATTTTATTATATTTTTAAAAAGAATTTTATTCCTCAATTAGATATTAATAAATCTCTTATACCCTAGCTGATTTATGAGAATGATAACTCTGTCTTAACTGCTAGCCCTTATGAGGAGGAATTTTGGGAAACATTATTAAAAGGATTTGGTGGAGGCTATTTTAGAATTTTTTTATATGTAACCCGTATCCCAAGTATTTTTTAATATTGCTATTATTTTGGTACCTAAAAGAGGAGCTATTAATTACTGGGATGATTTCAGGCCTATTCGCTTATAATCATTTTTTAATAAATTGATTTTTAAAATCATTATGAGGAGATTGACTTTAATGCTTCCTAAAATTATTTCCCTTGGGCAAACTGGTTTTGTTAAAGGCCGTTCTATTTTCGATAATATTCTTCTAGCTCAAGATTTGTTGCATGATATTCAAAACCCATTTCTAGTGGTAACATGGTTCTTAAGATTAACATTATCAAAGCTTCTGACAATTTAAATTGAATTGTTCTTTATACTATTCTTGTTTAGTTAAGTTTTAATGAGGAGTTTATTAATCTAATGAAGCATATTATTTATAATTTTTATTTTTATGTTATCATTGATGGGAGTAATCATAGATTCTTTACATCTACTCATTGTGTTAAATAAGGAGACCCCCCTGTCTCAGACCTTTTTTATAATTGCTACGGAATACCTTTCTAGAGGTTTGGAGAAGCTTTATGTTTTACATCCTTCTTTTAATTTTTATACCAATGGGGGGTTTAACTATCTCTAATCTTAGTTTTGCATGCTCATGATTTGATTATTTTCACTAATGATTTTATTAAAATGTTTAGTATTCTCTTCAAGTTCCTCTACCAATTCCAACAAGTTAGTGGGTTATACATTAACAATAACAAAAGTTGCTTTATTACTGGTAAGTCCATTGTAACTCAACGTATTAATAAAATTCATGAAAAATTTGGTATATCTCATATGTCTTTGACGATCACTTATTTGGGTACACCTCTCTACTAGGGAAAGAGAAAATCTCCTATTTTTGATGGGATCATCATGGCTATACAATATATATATATATATATATATATAAACACTTGGGCTTTCAAATTCTTATCAATTAGTTACAGATTTGTTTTAATTAAAAGTGTTTTTTCTACTTTGTGTATTTATTTATTACATTCTTTAAATCTTGATATTTTCATTTTTAATAGACTTGAGAAGTTAATCAATAAGTTGTTTTGGGGGGCTAAAAATGAAAAATCTACTATTCTCTTGGCTTCTTAGAAGAAGTGTTGTGGTGATTTGGAGGAAGGTTTAATTGGTTGTAAGAATTTATCTGATATGACTAAAGCTTTTTCCTATAAACTTTGTTTCAACTTTAGATCAAGTAAAAGTTTATGGGCAAATTTCTTATATAGAAAATATATTGGCAATAATCATCCTCTTTTATGTGTTCCTGAAAAGGGAGATTTCTCCATATAGAAAGGCTTTGAAGCATTAATTGCGAGATGGAGAAGTTCATTCAGTGGGGTATTAGTAGTGGTGATGTTTTCTTTTGGCAAGATTAGTGGATTGTCAATTATTACATTGATAGTTTAATAAATACTTGATCCATTTCCACTTTGTTAGTTAAAAGCTTTATTTCTAATGGGAAATAGAATACCGAGACGCTGAAGGATGTTGTTCATGATAATATTATTAGCAATATTGTTAATATTTCTCTGCAGGTTAACAAAGAGGATTATATCCTTTTTACAAAGGCTCTTGACGATAATTTTGCATTTAAAGAAGCTTGGCACTTAATTAAAGATTATAGGCTGGCTAACCCTCTTTTTTCGACAATTTGGCATAACTTGATTCCCATTTCTTATTCTATTCTAACTCGGAGAGTGATTCACAACTTTATCCCTATCGACAACATTCTTATTAAAAGAGGTTTTAATGTTGTTTCTTAATGCCAATTTTCTTATCATGTTGAAACTCTTAACCATGTTTAGGTTAATGAGCCTATTGCTATTAAAGTGTGTCTTCATTTTGAAGAGATTTTGAACTTAAATTTTTGAAATGGTTACAACAACATTATTGATTTTATGAAAAGTTGGTTTGTTAACTCTAAAAGTTATATTAGAAATATTCTCCCCAATATTATCATTTGGTATATTTGGAAAAGTAGAAATGACGCCAAAAATAATGGGATCATTATGAATGTGAAGCATATCATCCTTAATTTTAAAGAAAAAATCATGCATCTTCATGTTGCTAAATTCATTAAACCTGAGAATTTTAAAGATTTCATTTTTGCCGCTTTTTAGTTTGGTATTCAGAATATTAATTCTACCAAGAGGAGAAGGGATAAGGTTATCCATTCGCTTACACCTTCTCTTGGTTGGTTTAAGCTCAACATGGATGGGTCATTTGATGGAAATGTGGCTAGTTGTGGGGTATTGTTAGAGATCATCTTGGTAAGGTGATTAAAGGTTTTGCTAGTCCTATTTCTTTTTCTACTGTCTTTATGGCCGAATTTTATGTCCTTAATTATGGTATTAATATGTGTATTAAGTTAGGTCTGAACAATATTTGGATTGAGGTTGATGATATGCTTATTATACACTAAATAAATAGCTCCCATTCATTTAATGTTGATAATTTCTATATGATCAGAAATGTATTAAACAAGGCTTATCTAGTCTTAATTACCAGATTATCATATCTTGCGTGAAGGTAATATGTGCGTGAATGCTTGCTAAAATTGGTTGCACTACTCTCCTTTTCATTAAATATCAAGAGGTTCAAATCCCTAAAATTTTTAAAGGTTTGGTGGTCTTGGATCATATATATGGTTTACCTTATATCAGATCCCATTAATGTGGCATTGTTCTTTCAACTGCTTTGGTTGTTTTTGATTTTGGTGGCTATTTATTTACTCACTTGCATGATTTTTTTCTTTTTGGTATGGGGAGTTTGGGGAGGGGTCACTTGTGCTCTACGGCTCTTGCTGCAGGTTTCCCACTTTCTCATGACCTGCTTGTATTTGCGTGGGTTATGTTTATTCTGGTATCATTTGGTTAGGTTATCCTATAATTTCTATACTTACAACTCTATTTTGATGCCTATTCTGTATGGTATGCTTCTTAGTTTTTATCCCTTGCAGCTATTAATTTTAATTGCAGACCACTGATTTAACTTGGAAGTCTGTTGTGTTTTGTATTCTGGATGTTTTCTCTATAGGTCCTATTGATGATCACTTTGATGTTTTCTGGTGTAGTTGTTTTATGCAAATGTTTACTAAACTTATATTCGGGTTGCTGATTCTTCTTTCCGGTGACAATTTTGAGCTGAATGTTTATTCAGTGCATCTCAATTTTTGGGAGTGGACTACTAGCCATCCTAATCTTGGTTTTTGTTTTTTTCATTGTAATTTTGCTTTAGTAAGGACCATATTGGATTTTTTTTGGATTTTTTGTAGCTCTTTTAAGCAGTAGGACACTGGAGATCTCTTTAAGGACATTATACTTTTTTTAAATATTAAATAGTAGGCCTGTGGATCAGTTTTAACATATATATATATAGTTGCATTAATATAAATCTCCCTTTTATATAATGAGGGTTCAAAAGCTCGTAAATCAAACGAAGAAGTTGCATTCCCCGCTAAAACAACACCGATTGAAAAAGCCAGCAATTCCTCTTCTCCTGAGCCAAGAAGCCTAGCATCCAAGAAGCGAAGAAGAAGAAACCCTCCATGGAACCTCCCGCTCAAATCCCCTGTTCCGGCAATTGCCTCGTCCACCTACACTCCTTCTCCGGCTACGTCTGGCTGGTCCGTCGCATCTACACTTTACGGCAAAATCTTTTCCCCGACGGCATTATCCGTTTCCAGTTCACACGACCCAATCACCCGCCAATTTTCCTTTCCCACATAGATATCCTCACCTTACATTTCCAAGATAGGAAAGCCGCCATGGAACGCCTCGGCCACCGAGCCCAAAACTTCGTCGCCATCATCCCCGCCAGCAGCAACACCTCCCGCTATCAATCACAACTCTCCGCCGGCGCCACTGCCGCCGGACTGAACATTCGCTTTTTCATCGAAGCTCCGGTTCTTGCCGCCTCCTATTACAAATCTCTCACCCCAGGCCACAGAACCGTCCTCGTATTTGACCTCGATGCTCACATCTTCGAAGTCTCTTTGCTCACCGAAGATGAGAATCTAAAAGTGAAGGCTGCCGTTTCCAACTTGGGCTGCCCACTCTTAAATTACATGGTTTCAGAGATACAACGGAAGCTTGGAATCGACATCAGCGGCGACGCTACCGCTCTCCATTGCATCGGACAGTCCTGTGAACGCGCCAAGGACTCCATCTCTTCGGGCATGGCTGGTGTGGACCTTGAGTTTGAGCAACAAGGCAGGAAGGTGCCAATACGGATTACTCGAGAAAGGTTGGTGTTGCTGAATCTTAGGCATCTTCACATCGGAATCATGAGGTGCTTGATGCAAGCCGGAGTCAGGCGAGAAGCCGTGGATGAGATAGTGCTCGCCGGAGCTTCCGCTACCAAACCAGAGGTCCTAGAAGTTCTCCGACAGTTCTTTGAAAGGCAGATTTTCAGATGTAACATCGACCCTGCAAAGCTTATTGAGTTGAGTGCCATGCAATACATACGAAAAGTCTCTATGTTCAAGAATTTCCCTATGTTCGGCCTTAGGATCGTACAATCGGGGATTTTCACTCTTTGAGGTTTCTTCTCCTTTATTCTTCGAAGTTCTTGTTAATGCTGCAGTAGTCCACAATATTACACAATTTCAATAAAAAATTCTTCTTCGATATTTTTTGAAGTTCTTGTGAATGCTGTAGTCGTATGCAATATTACACAATTTTAATAAAAATTAGTCTTCATTTTTTTTTTGAAGTTCTTGTGAATGATGGAGTAATCTAAATTTTTGCTAATTTTAAGAAAAGATGATAGCCCTTTTGCCTTCTTAAATTTTTTTGATACCCTAAATCTTGGAGAGTTATGAAAGGATTCTTGACATAATACTTAAAAGATGAGATGATTTTTTAAAATTTATAAATTTAAGATTCATAATTTATAATTTATCACTAATCGATCTCAAAAGGAATATTAACAAGATTTGGTTTAGTTTTTATTAGTTTTGTCAAACATGTCTCGACTATGCTGATGAATCCCATGATTAATTGAACAGCAGGTTAGAGAAATAAAGGGAACTAGGTTTCATTTGAGGACTTTTTTACAATCACTATTTTTGTTTGGTTATTACTTTTTAATTGCTTTCAATAAAATTTTTATGATAGGAAATTATTTTCTACAACTTTTAAAAAATTAATTTCTTCACAGTAATTTTACAATCATCTTTATAAAAAGTTGCAACTATCCCAAATAACTCTAAACACACTAAGAGCAAGAGGAGAAATGGCTATGGTGCTGGGAAGGGGATTTGTCAACCATTTTTGCAAGTGCATTGAAAAAGATTGTGTAGAGAAGATAAAAGGGCCATGTGGACATGGGAAATTTTTTAATTAGGAGAATAGTTTAAGACATATTAAGGATAAGAAGCGTAATTTGAAATATATAAATATAAAAAGAAACAAATATCTAAAAATATTGTTTTTACATAAAAATGCAAAAAGATCTTAGGGCCTCGTCATCGATTTTCTTTTACGTAAAATCTCAAGAAACGAAAAAATTTTGGGGCTAGGTCCAGTTGAAATGTTTCCACTTGTCACTACAAAATTTTTTTTACTACATTATTATTAAGAAATTTTTAATTAAATATTTTAAAAAAAATTTATTATGACACAATAATATATTAAGACATCAATAATTCAACATTAAATAATCAGCGCTTATTCATCCTCCCGCTATTCAACCAATAAAGGGTTTACGAGCTAGCAAGGTACCTAACTTTGCTTGACTCTAATAGTGCGGTTTCTTCCTTCTGAGAGCTGGAGTGAACACCTAGGTTTGTGGTGACACAATCCTTACATTTTTTTCTCTTCCTCCCAATCAAATGCCTGTACCATCACTCTGTTCATGGTTTCTTCCTCTGATCGAATGTGTAGGTATGTCGCACCATTTTTCAATCTAATTTCTTCTTTCCTTAGACGTATTTTTCCACCAACTCCTCTTGATTTCTCCCTCTAGAAAGCGTATTTCCACGATCAAGATAGGCAATCTTCTCTTATTTGTGTAAAGCATGGAAAATCCATGATCTAGTGTCCTTATCTATTTGAAAATCATTAGATTATTTTGTGAAAAGAATATAATGGATAAAGCTATGCTAATCTCTGAAGATATGGAGAAGCTTGGGTTTGCTCCCTTTGTGGAAATTTATAATTCACGTATTTGCTTGGATTAAAGCGTTTAATGAATCTAAAGCCATTTTAACAAAAATGGAGGAAGGTTTATCCCCAATTCCCAAAATAGACAATATATATATAACGCGTCAGAATTAAATTTGAAAGAATTATTTCTTTATCTTTTAAATTTCATCACCAAAGCTATTTATTTCAATAATATTAATAGAAAAAAATCAAAACTAGTAATAAAAACCTCAGAAAAAAATTTTTTTCTATACTAAAAAAATTATATATAATCCTCAAGAATCGTACAATTTCTTTATATCCTTCTAAATCGATCCTGAGTACAAAAGAAAAAAGGAATCTTGGGAAGCCTAGTCAATCTTTCCGTCTCTTGATCCCTTACCACGAGCTAAAATTAGATAAACCATATATAATGAGCTTAATAGCCCAGCAGGTCAATAAATCATACAATGAAATTTAAAGCACGATAAAAAAATAATATAAATATTATCAGTCAATTCACAATAGTGACATTCAATGATCATGAATCAGTGCATAAACGTTAAAACTCATGTGCAATAACAGTAAAGTCTATAGACTGTAAAACTGTATGGTACAAAAGCTAGTAAAATTATACTGGAGGTAAGCCAATAAATTAACCAGTTTGTCAAATTGATATAACTATTAAAGTCATTTCAATTAGTAAACCCAACCACGTGAAATTGCAATCACACATCCAATATATAGCTAACCTACCTCTCATAATCAATGAAAGTAAATAGTATCGATGAATAAATAATAGTAGCCATAGTAATGAATCTACATCAATCTTATCGGTGAAAGTAATAATAAAGCAATATAGTAGTAGTAAATTCATGTGGTGATAGTAATCAATATATTAATAGTAATGTCATACAATAATAATGAATCTTATTGGCATACTCATTAAGTAAAGAGTCATAGCAAAGTGGTGCTTTTTCGATTAATATGTTTGTTGTTAGTAACTGTTGGCTCAGTAAAGCAATCACTCCATTGTCTGCCAAAATAGTAATAACTTCTTATAATTCCCAAATAATGAATAGTAAAAAATAAAGGATAACATCTCTCTCTCTCTCTCTCTCTCTCTCTCTCTCTCTCTCTCTTTCTCCTCCTTTCTATTCTCCCTCTCTCATTTTCTTCTCACGCAAGCGCATGGTGAGTGAGGGGGAGGACAAGTGAGTGTGTGTATATATATAAGATTTTAATGATGTAGAACCATGACATTCAGACCTTGCACCGCAGAGCTGCATGTAGAATCTAAAATCACTATAGAATAAAGAGTTCAAGGCCATAGCGATAATTATGGGCACTACTACAGTTCAAACCCCAGTGCCTCGATGCTCAATGGTGCATCATAGCTGTGTTGTAGTTCAGATAGAAATTCAATTTTTTTTAATACATTTCAAAAAGTTGATTTGTTACAGTATATATAGGATAGAGCTAGGTCTATTCTTTAAT